TTTATTATTTTCAGTATTAAAAATAAAATAATTTTTTTATTTTATACGTGTAGCGTGAGTGCAGACTATAATAACTATAAATAAAAAAAATTTTAAATATTGATTTGAACAAAATTTATTTGTCAGGTCTTCCTGTTACACTCTGCACCTATATAGTAATTATATTTTTCATAATATTATGTAGGTACCTATATTAGGTAGTTAATTTATCATTATTATTATGCACTACGTATATAATATGTGATACAAGTTTATATTTTAAAGATATCAAATATCAAAAATCACAAATCACAAATGGCAAAAATCCAATAATTTGTATTTAATATTTTCAATAAAATTCAAAAAATAACCAATAAATACCTATATAATATTTTGTTTTACTAGTTGTAATAACACATAAATAAACGAAGTATTGTTAAAGATATAGATACTCAATACTCGTTCCTACACAAAAATCCGGTGCCGATTAATAAAAAGAAAATACTCATATTTTTAATTTACTACTGTTGGATCCCATCTATGTTTTAGAATACAAAAACTTTTTAATGTTATGAGTACTATAACTTCCCAATTATATCAAACCGCATAATATTATTCACTTAAAAATTTAAATGAAACCAAGAGTCTATATATACCTTGTCTTAATTAACAATATATTTTATTTCGTTAGAAATCTTGACCGTTTATATTCTATCGATCTATATGACTATATTTAAATATATTTACCATGACGTATACGCTGATAGTTTATCAATTGTATTCGTCACTCCAGATAGTTTCTGATTTTTATATGATTATGATTTTAGACTTATGAGTGAACTGAGTGATGTATTGGTGGTTTTATTGTTTTATATTATTTACAATGCTCGCACGTCCGAAGGATTTATTATTATTTTCTAACACTGGTTCAAATAATCAAATGGTTTGCACATCCAACAAAAACTAACAGAAATTTGTCTGTTACCTACAACAATTATAATAACTAGGTATAGGTATGTAAAATGTTTAACATTAGGTTTAGAATGAAACATTTGTTTTGGAAGAACATGATTATAGTTATATTGTTCTAGATGTCCCTGTACACTTATGAGAAAAACCGAAAACATTAAAATAATAAACATATATTTTAATACCTATATATTATTAATATAGGTGCATAAAAATAAAATATAAAATGGCTTACCCTTTGGATTTTACGTTGAACGTTATGTTGTAACAAAACAAAATAATTTATGGACACTGCAGCTCCACGCACGATATTGAATGCGGACAAATAGTGAAATGACTAATGTATCACACTATCATCTACATTATCATAGACGGGAAGTTTATACAAATTAGTACCTAATTACAACTAGGTATCAGAACATTGGCCAAAGCGCGAGAAAGTATTATAATATAGTTTATTTTGTTCGAGCGATAACCGGTTGTCGGGTTGTGTATTTGTAAAATATAATAATATATATTATACATATAAATTATAAACATATTAATATTTAAGATGTATTCTCATAGACCATAGACGAGATTGACGGATCAGTTTTCATAGAGGGTAAAAATAATTATTAAATACTATAAGTATTATTTATTTTAATTTTCAATTGCCAATAATCATCGACATAGGTATAGGTATACAGTGGAAGTCATGGAATCTAACCTCCTATAGGTATTATGGCTATATGCCCAATGCCCATATACCTACAATATTCATTAGCATAATCTCAATTAGCCATAACACTATTGGCTTAGGTATCGGTTAAATAAAATAGGAATACAATTTAAATTTGAAGATTTAAATTGTTTTTCAATGCTGTCGCACTTACTCATTGTTTAATATTTTATGTGGGTTTTGCAGATTGTAAATAATTAAGAAAAAAAAGGTGGGTAAGTGGATGTCGCTCTGCTGTACAGTAGGTTACAAGTGGGTCACTGTATAATTGATGCTATTAAATTTGAATTCAATGATACAATATCATTGTATAAGAAAAACGATTCTGAGCGAAGACGGTATGACAGTCTAGGTTAAGACAAATTATATACATATCTATGGTATTAAAAAAAAATTGACCTATAATAAATTCCAAATTAATCATATCACATTATCACAATATCCATTAGGTACTTATAACACGTTATACACTAACAACAAACCCTGATACTATTATATATATATAATAGTACACTTTAGAAGTTTCAAGTAGGTACCCACGAATAATATTATATAATCACAACAAAATAACTAGGTTTTTTAATATGTAATTTCGTCCAAATTTGAACATAAAATGACTATAAAAATAAACTGTGATTGTATATTTTTTAGATTTTTCGGTAAGAGAATTAACTACTTACGTGGAATCTTGTTTTAAATTTTCAATCCTTAGCTATAAAAACTGAACATTTTATAATTTATTAATTACGATGATTAATAATTTTCGAGATTTTGAAAAATTCTGTCAAAATTCAATGTTAAAATGCTTATAAAAAAAAATTGTGCCTATGTATTTTTAATATTTTTCAACTGATATTGTAACAATATATCAGGAGCCTTTTATTAAATTTTTACACTTTTTGGCCCAACAGATAAAACTTAATTGATATTTATAGAAAAAAAAAACCAAAAAAATTGAAAACTGAAAATGTCCGTAAACGGCTCAAAAAGAGTCAAAATATTTTCAAAATTGTATGGTGTATAGGAAATACTAATATAAACATTCAGTGAAATTTTCATGTATCTACAGTAATTCGTTTTTTAATTACAACAAAAAAAGGAAATTGCCACATGAGAAATCGAGTGAATATCCAATGTTGTAAAAATTTGAATTTCAAACGCTCATAAAAATTTAATTTGACTTTCCTGTAGAGATTTTTTTATTGATAAAGGTAGACAATCTTATTAGTAATCTTGTATAAGATTTTCAAATCTTAGATTTAAAAAGAAAAATTTTTACGAATTCTTAACTCAAAATAATTTGCTAATTTTCGTGATTTTTCCATATTTTGTCAATTTTTGAACTTTAAATGCTTATAAAAAAAAATTGTGACTAAGGATTTTTAATATTTTTAATCTGCCTTTGAAACAATATATTAGGAACCTTCTATTAAATTTTCAAGCTTTCGCAACCAACAAATAAAATTTTATTGATATTTCTAGAAAAAAAACTAAAAAAAAACTAAAAATGAAAATGTCCCTAAACTGTTCAAAATAAATCAAAATATTTTGAAAATGTTATCGTGTATAGAAGATGCAAATATAAACAACCAGTGAAAATTGCATGTGCCTACGGTCATTTGTTTTAAAGTTACACCAAAAACCAAATTCAATTTTCTGAAAAATCGATTTTGCGTAAAAATTCCCGTTTTTCCTTAATTTTTCTTTTGTTTTTCCCGGCGCTCTTGAAAACTACTGGGAAATTTAAATTTTGACCTCCCCAATGCACCAACGATATTCACTTTCCAATCGAACAAGATACTGAAGTCGAAAATCGAAGCATTATTTCGACTACTTATCGTGTACACAGACACAAAAAAAATAAATATAAAAATAAAAAAAAAAATAAAAAAAAAAACACACATCATTGTAAAATCAATACATTCATCGTTTCACTCAGAATCTAAAAACTAAGATGATTAGATATAATATCTATATAGATTAAAATACAAGATGTTTTGGATGAGGCACGGCGTATACAAGCATTGTTGAAAAATAAATAAACAATAGTAGGTAGGTACCTATATGGCTATATATACTATATATAGGTACATAGTCACTTAAATTAGATGCTTTAAATTATTACTAAAATAACTAACTATATATACCTATTGTTGATATTATAATTATATTGTATTCGTATATAGGTATCCAGTAAAGATTTAGTATGTTTTAATTATTTTCTACACTTGTAAGCATATTCGATTAAAATTTATGATGTCATTAACCAGTACGATTCTTTACATTATTATGACCGGACGTGAGTAGCAGGAGACCTACCTATTTTAATATTTTCATATATTAAATAAGCACCTACTAGGTAGTAGATACCTATTATATGCTATAGGCTAAAATTATAATAGAAACAAAACACTACCTACCTAAAATATGATATTTTATACTTTTAGTTTTCGGCACTTACTACTTCCAAATCAGTTTCAAAAGCGTAGTCTGAATTATAATTATTATCATTCCGGTATTTTTTTTTAAAACAAAAACTATATTTCATTTGAATTTTGAAAGCCTTTTTTCTGTTTGAAAACAAGGAACTATAGAGGGAAACTGGGATTAAACTGTAGTTTAAGCAGAGGACCACCATGAAAAGTCGCCTTTCGGCCCAAATTTTGAATACCTACCTAACTGTGATTTTGTAACTAGAAATAAATTTAAATATTTATTTGGTACTATTATAGCTTGATTATATGTTAGTATTTTTATGTTCATGTATAGGTTTATGGGAAGACCGATTCGGATAATGTCAATTGCTTAGATAACTTCGACATAAATATGTTTTTGGGTTGGGTACAGGTTTTTTGTTATTTCCATTGTTCTTATTACCAAAAACATATTAATTATGATTCATAGATTTCCCTTATAGTGCAAAATATCGAGTTGCGTGCTATGTTATGTTTTTTTTTATCTAAGTATAGGGTACCTTTAGTATCTACCAATACTTATGCAATTAACCACATTAGGTGGTTAATTAGATCTTGATAGTTGATAATCGACTTATACATAAATAAATTACATGGCAGACAATTGGTTGAGTTTTTTTTTAGGTGGGGCTAGTTTATCCAAAGTAAATTTATGGATGCAACCCATATTTAATACATAAAATTCCATATGGGGGAGGGGGCTATTAAAATTAGAGCCCTAAAAATCCCCCCAATGACCCCTTACGATTATTTGTTTTACTGTTATAGTGTTATGTAACGTATAGGTGGAAGATGCTTTTACAAAAAAAAAAAAACGTTATTAGCGATAAAGGTCATTCAATCATCTTATTTCGTTTTTACACTTTTGGTAATCCACCAGTTATACGGTTTTCAATTCCGCATTCATTTCTACCTCTTCGAATTTTAAACATTCCACCCATGCCCCAAGAATCACCCCATGTATTAGCACATAACCAGTAATCTATTCCGTCATCTTGACCCCATCCCATTATTTTGACAGCGTGGTCGCCTTTTAATCCACCGGTCGTATACTGATATATTCCTAAAAATATTGTATAAATTAAATTTTATATTACTAAATGATCATGGATGTGTTCAATGGACACTAGTGATAGTGGTAACTGTTATTCATTAGCGGGATTATAAGTACTTGCCTCCTTTATAGCATACGAAATCTTCATAGACTTTCATTGCTGCAACAACAGGTCCATTTTTAAATATTTCACTCATGATTATTTCCGGTTTTGGTTTTACAGAATACACTTTATAGGCTACAAAAAAAAAAAAAAAAAGCTATAACAAAATAGGTATATTGACAATTTGTTAAAGATAATTAAAATTCAATATAGATATTTAGTATTTACCATAGTACAGATCTGAAACTAATGGAGTCTCATAATTGTTATTGGTACACTGATCTTTGTAACACTGGGGAGTATCTTCATTTTCCTTAGAACAGGAGTTTGCATTTCTTGGACAAGGAACTATACTATATGGCTGACATCCCTATAAATTAAAGCATTTATAAAGAAAAAGTACCTACCAATAGGTAGGTAAAAAGAGCAAACAAATGCATAATATTATGTTATGCTAGGGATAAAGATTTGAGGATTCGTTTATTTACTATAGATGTATACATATTTTATTAAATCAATACCTATATGATCTATTCACTTTAATTTTTATCTAGTATCTACAGTATATACATTTTTAAATTCTGAACGGAGAGATACAATTATTGGTTCAATACAACGATCAGCAGTATGTTCTATTTGTGGGTCTGTTGTCACGATTCCCAGCAATAAAACTGCTTTAAACCTCAATATTGAGGGTGGATCCAATTTTTGTTTATGTCATACATTATTACCTACCAATTTATCATTTATTTTTGAATAATATGATATAATTATTTGTGTATCGAAGTTAAATTTTCTTATGTGTTGTGAAAACAATAAAATATTCATAAGACTTAGAGATTAAAAAATATTCTTGACAATGCTGAATATATTATTAATTTATAGTTTATTAGCTATATACACGTAAGTTAGTTTAAAATATTGGTCAAAGTAGGATGATACGGGGGGGGGGGCATCCCTACACTTTTTTATAATTTCCATTTTCCATTCCGCTGCTTATTTTGAACAACTCCGACCACTGGATATAATGTTATTATTTATTGCTCGTAAGCTGTTGCATACAATATTTACATACATACACCTACACACATTATTTTTGTTATTTAAAATATTATTATACGAACAATAAAAGATACTGTAACATTGCATATTATCATCTGAGGTGTTAAGATTAACTTAAGTTTTATATTAACACAAAAATTAAAAACTTTGTTACATGTGGCACTAACCTCATTAGAACCGTATTCACCTCCTGTGCATAACCCGTTTTTCTTTATGTACTTCCATGCTTTTTCTGGATGGCCACCGTTACATCCGTCACCACATTTACCATTGCAACACGAATTTATGTATTCACCAGATAAGACTTTATTAACATTCATATTTGAGGTGATACATAGACGGTCACTAAATGCAGAAGCAGTTGATAGGGCCTACATGCATAAATATGTTATATACTTACTTAAATATATATTGCGATGGCTGATTGAGCTTTTTTAGTCGTTAGAAAGCGAATGATAAAATGTGGAGAGACCCCTCACCCAACAAGATCCGCAATTTGATTGATCCCTGATTGAAACAACCGATTTACATTCAGACCATGTTTGTGTAACATCATAACTCTCCGGCAGAGATTCCAAGTCAATGGATACATCGTATGTAAGGAGAATGTCCTTTTCGCTTAGTTTATTCAATGGTAGAACTCCCATGAGATGTGAAACGTTCGTCAAAAGACTTGGATGGAAATTTATTCCAGCCTAAATAATATATTGATAAATTGATTATTAATATCAATATGTAAATGTAGTATATGTGTGCACTGTGTATACTCAATACTGCATAGTGCATATCATAATGTACCTATATATGTGTATTACGTATCAACCTTAAATTTCGTGATACAAACTTGTTTTAAAATACACATAATTTGGACTTGGACATTTCAGAAATCCCTGTACACTATAGATACAGGGATGAGCAAGTTACTTACTCGATTATTTTTAACTGGTTATAAGTTAGATGCACTAAAATATTGTTTAAATACCTATAGAGTTCTGAAGAGTTTCATCAGTGGGTGATTTCCTTCCTCGTGTGTTCATGTTATTATTTGTTATGTTTATTGTATATGTATATAATACTATACCTATTATTATTTATTACAAATTGGTTCCAAAATATAGCAAAATGCAATAACTATAAGTAAATCAAATAAATGAACAGCAAATGGCAAACTGCAAATAAGTACCTGTACTTGTAAGGTATATATTATATTGACACAAAATATGAAAAATGGATAACCATAACACATGTCACTTACACACACGACACACTCAGTGGCATGCACAGCTTTTTCTAATTGGGGGGGGAGGATATTTTCTAAAAAATGTGAAATTGGTATCATAAAAACAAAGATTGATTCAGTCAATTTTCTATAATATTTTGATATAGTATGATATGATTTAAGCAAATAAAAATATAGAGGTTATTTCATATATGTATAGTATCATAGAATAGTTTATGGTTTTTTTTTTAAATCCATGGGGGGGTTATGACACCCTCGTCCACCCTAAGCACGCCCCTGGACATACGGTCAGTAATCAGTATGCTTGTCAGTTATACGTCTACCTACAAAAATATTATAAAATAAAATAATATATTTACCACTTATAAGTTATATTATTATACTAATACTTATCTTTTTAATATTACTAATATGAAAAGTGAAGACTAAAGATAAAGAACATACCTAGTTCAGTGCATGACATATAGGTAACACTACGCATGATAAAATTATTCTATTAAAATTTCAAATCAATAGATAGAGGTATGCAATGGTTATAACTTATAACTTATATCGATATTTTTTTGAAAAAACGCTAATTTTCATAATACTATAAATTGAAATTAATAGTTAAATTGAATGGGGGCTGGATATTTCAATTGAAAAAACATAGGCATCTATACATGATTTTTTGAAGACATTGAGACACCTTATCTGAAAACCATTCTTAAGTTAGGTACCTAATTCAAATATGTCTTACCTTCCATGTGTGTTTTGGTATGTTATTCACTAGTTGTATGATTTGATTTACTTTAAACAAAGGTGTACTACTAATAACATCAAAATATAAAATAAAGCCTACAATGACCCTCGTGAAACCAATAAACATTGTCAAGAAGTGACTATTTCAATTTGTATTGTACAAGTTCAATTGCCAACTATAAAGTGACCGAATTTCACTAAGAATGATATATTTATATAGATACCTATATCGGCATTGAGTATTAGGTAGGTACACTCAATGATGTTATGACATTTTTGCTATTATAATATTATACACTTGGTCGTTGGATAAGAAACCACCTGTAGGGAATATTCTTGAAAGATAATGTTCATAAGTATTTAATTTTAAAACTCATTTAATGATTTCCAAGTTATTGAAATAAGTACCTACTTTAATATTTGTACATGTAATTCACAATAATTAAAAGATATAATACAAAATGCGTAGGTAATTATTTAGATAAAAATATTAAAATTGGTATGACTAAAGAAAAATATATTTTCACAGTTTTTTACATAATTAGTCAGTACCTACCTATACTGCTGAAGTCATTGAAGACAATGAGTCATTTAGGTATAAAAGTATACAAATTCTACATAAGTAGGTACCTAATTGGTAAGTACTATCGTAAATCGTAATATTATAAATTATAATCATGTATACAAAAATATATGTTAAGTACATACACTGTACATAATATCTAAAAACAGATAACAAAACTATTTTTTTATTTTAAATAAGTAATATACAATCTGAATCAGTTGACACAGTGAGCATACTCGTATAGGCTAAGGGTAAAAAAAAACATGAATATATTTTAAGAAAGAAGCCACCCAATACTGACACTTTCAATTGAGGAGCTTAGGCAATAGGCATGCTAGTTACGTTAAAGATCTTGACACCACTTACGCCTAAGTCGCCTTGGAGGATTGCCGGTATAGTGGCAACTACCAGACTGCAGACGCTATAGATTTTTAATTAGAGGAATTGTATGAGTAATTATCCTGACATGAAACCTTTTATAGTAGAGCTTGGCTTCTTAAAATTTACAAAACCACATACACAAAAACTGGTTTACAAAAATTTTGTTTTAAAGTTAATACAAACAAATCTACACAACTAGTCTCAGACTTGCCCCTTACCCCTAACATCACTTTGTACGGAAGCTCAACCACCTACCTACTGGCTACTAACCAGTAGTCAAGTATCTCGGCCTTACTTTGGATAAAAGACTACTTGGGCCCCCCCTCACATTAAATCCAAAATGTTGACTTTAAATAACCGACCACGAATGCCTGAACTCTGTTATGTAATAATAAAAACTAAAAAATGCACAAGTAATATTATAGGTACTAGTAGTATTATTACAATATTACTATTATATTTTATTATATTTAAAAAAACAGTACTAACGACTAAATATCTTATGCTTTACATTTTTAACACCTGTAGCTGTATTATTCAATTGTTCAACGTCAAAACTTTAGTAAAAAATTTACAATATTTTATGTCTAAATAGGTACATATCAAATTTAATTTTTTAGTTCAACTATTAATTTGGCTTAAAATTGGCATATTTTCAAAATTATTTAAAATAAAGGTACTCTTGTAGTATGCTACCTACCCCTACTTCGTTGGTGTAGTATTCTACCTACAGTAAGAAGCTATACCTATCAACAAAAATTTACGAGTGTCTACCATTTTTACATGCTGACTAATAACAAATTATGTAACTAAAACGTACTTATAATGTATTGATGATCATCATTCATCACTGTTAAGTATTATAACTTATAATATATTATAATAAATAAATATACTGTTATGCTGTGTTTACGATATCCCAGAAAACTTCAAATAATGTAATGAAAATGGTCGTGTTGTGTTAAAATTATTGACCGCGACCATTCTTTTTTTGGTTGGCGGTCTAATACATGTCTGTTGTTTGTGCGGAAGGACACATTCAAACTAAAATAATTTAATATCTAAAAGTAAGCTAGGTATTATGGGGCTTGATGGATATTTACCGGTAATTTACCAGATAGGTAGTTACCAGTTTAATTTACATTTAGCTATTATAGTGTTGTACGTCCAACGAACGTTATAATACGTTGTTTAACTTAATAACTCAAGCCACAGTTACTTTATGTAATGAAATGTAATACAAATATAACACATAGAAGAGTAAGGTAGATAGGTATGTCTTATTTTCCTGTAGGTAGCTGCATACCGCACGCGAACCGTTTTTTGGTAGGTAGCATAGGTACTATACACGAGAACCAAAATAAACTAAACTCTTAACAACTCTTATTTGGAACTATATTTTTCTATTTCTTTAAGAAGGAATCGTAAATATAAAACAATGATCCCATTTGAAAATCGAAAATTGATAACATCAAATAGGTACGCATTGTACCTATCTATAGTGTAGCCAAAATTAATGCGCAAAAGAATTATTTATTAGTTGCTAAATTAGCCACTTTAAATATCCCCTATAAATATGTCGTGTATTTGTGTCGGTCGGCTCTGAAGTTGGTAAATTCACAGATTTCTATATAATAGGTAATATGTTGTTCACTGTTCTTTGGTAGTATAAAAGTCGATGGGTAAATTAGATGAAAATAAAACAAAAATTGTATATTACCTACAGAGCTATCTAACGACGAACCCAACATTCATTCGCAGTTCAAGTTTAAAATTACGGCTCGGATATGATTATTGATTGCAAAATGCCAAAATGTATTATTTTAAAACCAAAGTTTTCGCCTTTTGGGTTATTTGATTTTGAGTAGTAAATTCCAACATTCACTAGTAACAAAACTATAGGTTTAACTCAGCCGCTAAAATGAATAACAATAAATCAGATTCAACGGTATGAGGGTATAAAATATATTATGATTTACGACGCAAGCTTTCGACTTTCTTCCTTTTTTCCGAGGATCACATTATTTAATAATAGGTATACAATAATATAGTATATTGATAAAAAATATATTATTGATGTTATTATCGTTTCGGCCTTCAGGTCGTGCATTGATAAAAAAGATATTGTTTATTCAAGGTATATTGATAAACCTTATCACTTAGTCAATAACTAATTATTTTGTATTTTTTACCATAATCTGAATAAAATCGTCAAGACGTCGACCTTGTTGGCCTGTTCCCTATTCCGGAGGGCACTTCAAGTTCATATTATAACTAATAAATTGGCCAGTGACAATTATTATTCATTTACCAATAATTGCTGTTGCCTGTGACACAGTTATTAATCAAATAATACGTCCTGTTGCTTAAAGTGTCGATCGTTGACGAAAATCTTTATTTCCTAGATCATGTCGGTCGTCTACAAAGCCGTAATTTCAGCAGCCGACAAAGTTGTACCACGGGGCTTGAGGCCACTTTGGGAACATCCGGCGGGTAATTTACTAAATACATTTTATGACTGACTATTCACTTTAGACTATAGTCTTAAGTCTCCAACCGAACTAACCTTTTTAGTCCGAATTCATGTGAGAAACGCTTTGAAATAATCATTAAACTTTATTTTCACAGGTCCAAAGACTATTTTCTTCTGGGCACCCGCATTTAAATGGGTAATAACTAATAAGGATGAGTAGAGCTCTGATGTTAATGACCAAAAGTTCATTAAAATATATATGTAGAAACGTCAAATATGTAATTATATGCCTTAAAATATTTTAAATATACCTATTTTTCCTACAAATGTATACAAAAAGAGTTAATATTAATATTAATTAAAAAAAAATGATATGCTCTTGAATGTGTATTTAAAATTACTGATTACAAAATACACGGCTATTAAATATGAAAAAAAAATATTAGTTAGTGGCTGATCTATTAAAGTTAAATTGTACATAGGTTAAGCACTTTAAGTATCAGAATTATTACACTGTACAACAATTATTTTACTGATATTTTAAAATTTTTAAGACCTTTGACAATTCGACAGTATGTTTTTAAAAATATCTAATCTCCTAATTGGCTGTTCACAAACACAATTAACAATGATAATTCATAATAATATGAACAATTTTTAATATTATACTTATAATTTATAAAATATAATATGCTACTTAATCTAGCAATCATCAAGTTATGCATTTATATGCTAAAAAATTACAAGTTTGCAAACTAAACTTCATGAATCGAATTGATATCATACTAAAGTATAATTCTGGTTGCACAAAAAATATGCAATCATAAACATCCGAGTTCTAATGACGAGCGTTTCTATTTAATCGATCTTATTAATTGTATTCATATATCTTTCTAGGGCTTAGTTATTGCTGGCATTGGAGACATAACTCGTCCAGCAGAAAAAATTAGCATGTCTCAATGCTCAGCATTAGCTGCCACCGGTATCGTGTGGTCACGATATTCACTCGTCATCATACCAAAAAACTGGAGCTTATTTAGTGTTAATGTTTTTGTGGGTGCTACAAATTTATATCACTTGGCCAGAGCTTTTATGTAAGTTATAAAGATATATCTATAATAATATAAACATTCTTACAGTTAAGTTTAAAAATAATCTTATAAAATAAAGTCAATAACAATTCTTATTTTTGATGGATTATCAAATATATTGGTTCTTAATTGTAGCTTGCAGTAGCATATCCAGGGGAGGGGACCTCTCCCACCATCATTGATGGTTATTTAGTAATTGATTTTTAATATTTATGAAATAATGTATTATAGTTTTTTTATACGCGTGCTCCTCACCATTTTGAAAATTCTTGATACACCACTGCTTGTAAACTCTAAAAAAGATTATCAGTTCAACTTTTCACTTATTGCAATAATTTTATCATATTGTTACTATTTGAAACCAATCAAAGTTTGCATTCATTTAAAACTTTTAGATTTTCTAAAATTAGTCACAATAGTTTGAATTATTGTTTAGTTAAACAAATTAGTTTAATAATTGTAGAAATTATAACAAACTAATATATTAATTAATGTTTCAGGTACCAGCAAGAACAAAAGAAGGCATTAGAAAATGGCAGTAAAAGTGATAGTTAGATTTAATGTGCATTAAAATGTATAATTCAATGATAAAATAATTTTAATATGTTTTTGTTGTATGAATAAATAGATTATTATTCAATTTTAATAAGGATGAATATATTATTGAAAAAATAATGAAAGAAATCACAAATACTAATAATGAGTAATGACATTGATAATTAAAACATTTGTTGTACAACCATCTGGTTCAGAAATTTCTTTTAAAGCCTTCTCCGCTATAACCTCTGAAACCTTGTCCTAAAAACAAACAAAAAGTATACTTAGATTATTATTTCTTAGAACTAAATTAGATACAAGCAACATTTTATAATAATATTGTAGTCCAGGCAAATTAGACTCATTTTTGACAAATAGCGGAAAAAAAAAGCAGGAAATTATTTCGATGTTGTGTTATTCAAATAGGTACATTGCAGTGATGATGATACACCTACTACTAGTGTTCAAAAACGACTAAAATTACATAAAAATTAAGATAATTATGTTATAAATAAAGTTTTGTTTAAATTAATAAATAAATAATATTTTGTTTGTCAAGCAATAGCCGAAATTGTGTCGTCGCGATATTAACCAATATTAATTTTTATTATTATATACCTACCGGTTACCTCTACATGTAATAGTTATTTTATGTTTAGATAATAATTATAAAACAATAAACAGCTCATTTATACAAAATTAATACAAAAAATAGTATGTGTGTTACCAGTACGCGCGCGGGAAGTTAAACTTCTTTTGAATGGTACACGTGAGTGAGTGAAAAAGAAAGAAAAAAATATTAATTAATTTAAAAAATGAGAAGAAGTATCCGGAATTATTTATTATTGATAGTTTTATTATTTTTTTTATATTTTTATTCGACAGATCGATGGATAATTGTTTGTAGTATTGTTTTTATCCAGACAATAGATTTGTGAGTGAATAATAATAATAATAAAAATAAATAATAATCGATCATTAATTATTCATATTAATTAGTATGGCCCGATTATAATATATAATATATATATATATTATAATGTATAATAAAACAACACTACCATGACAATATTTTTTTATTTACGGACATGTACGCTTTCGCGTTTGTACGGCCGCGCCGCCTGTTCGCTTTTTTTTTTCCTCACTACCCTGCGTAAAGAAGTATAACTTCAAAAAAACTGTGTTAGTCACAATTACGGACGCCATAAGACAGAAATTACCAATTCTATAATATTTGATGTCCGATTATCAAGGTAAATATTGATCCCACGAAATATATTGTAAGTACATTTTTTATAGGTAATTACTTTTTCTATAATTACCTTTTCTATAATATAGTATATAGGTATTTTTCTTATAATCTTAATAACAACCGAGTTATTTGAGAAAAACTGATTTTTCTTGCACAAAGCGCGCTCTAGCGGAGGTAGCGGTCATCAAATCTTAGGGGACTTTTAGTATGTTACTTAGTACCCTTCAATAAAGGTGTATACCAAAATTCAGCTTTCCTGCTTTTTTTCCGCTATTTTATTTAATTTGCCTGGACTATTGTATAATTGTATAATGTATATTATATTATATTTTATATATTATTTGTATGACAGTATAAGTAATATGACTAGTGAGTACTAGTTACTTGTAGTATAATAACATTTTTATTTGAAAATTTAAAATTATGTTAAAGAGAATTTTATTTATGTGGTTTATAATAATATGTACATTTAAAGGTATAGAGTATTAGAGTGGTTAGTGGTTAAAACAACCCAAAAAGTTATTGAAACAAAACTTAATATTATTTACTACTATCCTGTCGATAATGTCTGCAATCACATATGGTGGTGATAATGGTTGTAACTTACATATAAAGATAACAAATATAGAATAATAACATAAATAAATAATTTTATTGTTGTTAATGTTAAATGTTGATAACTTTGAATAATATATTTGAAATTCAAAACACCTAACCATGAGATAGCCGACACCCCCGTGGCCTTATAGTATATTATAAATGAATGTTGTCAAAGGTGTATACTACACATTCAATTCTACTAATCATGGGCATAATTTGGTATAATTATCTATAGGGGCTATATAGGACTGGACATTTTTAAAACATTTAGGGCCGGTTGCATAAAGACCAGTCTGTAAATGTTTTCACGGACCTGTAACTTAATCACTCGTTAACTCGTTAACGGCTTGTAAAAAAAAAAATGAGTTTCATAAAAGATTATTATTATTTTGTATTTTATTGATAACCATAACTACCAAATAAATTATACCACATTTAATTTGATTACAATGATTGCTGATTGTATTATTAATACTAATAAAAAAAAATGTGGCTGATAAGAAATTTTATTATTTCTTATCACCATATTTAACGGATCGTTAAAAGTTAACGAACCAAAATCGGACCTGTAGTTTACAGGTCCAATAGCCGATAATTTACAGACCCGTTAACGTTAACAGTCGTTCAAGCAACACCCAATTTTTTTAACGGATCGTTAGTGCGTTAACGGCTCTGTAAATCGCTAATGAACGTTTATGCAACCCACCCTTAACATTTAAAACTATAATTTCAAATAAAATGTAAAAAATGAAAGTAAATACCATGAGGGGGCTACAAAAGTTTCTGGTGTGACTGTAGCCCCCCATATCCCCCATGCATACTATGCCCATGCTACTTATTCAAACTATATGTATTTTAATTGTTTTAATTATTAAAAAAATTTATTTAATAGAAAGTTTATAATTTAACTAAAAGAAATAAATATATAAAAAAATTAATTTAAATTTATGGGTAAAACATTTTATAAAACCTAATTAAAATTTAAAAAAATCTTAAAATGTTGCATACCTCTTACAAAGGGACTACCACCATAATAACTTCTATGATTATATTCATCACAAAGAGACAAAGAATTTCTATGGTTATCTATTCCTTGATTATACCTTCCTCTACCACCTCTTTGAAAACTATTATAGCTAGGGTAAGAATGATTAATAATATGTGGAACTTTATCATCTGAATCATCACCACTCTTATTAAATGTTTGGTCCAACTGTCTTCTGTAATTTGGAGTATCACTATATATTAAAAAAAAATGTAAGTACACATTTATTTAATTAAGAAATAATAAATAAAATTACCTACCCATGAACAAACGATATTGGAGATAGATTGTATCTACCACAGTTAAAATTACATAGTTCTTTTAGAACATTTACAAGTTTAATATCTGTTTCACTTAACGTTGCAATAGCATCTGGTTTTTCAGATGCATGTACAATTAAACTTTCAATAGCTGGTCTTAAAGCTACAATTGCAGAAGCAGCTTTTACATCCATTTTTAAAGTTATCCTATAAAATATAAGTTGAATTATAAGCTTTGTTAAATAATATTACATTTTAATATAAATTTAAAATATTCAACATAATATTTTTTTAAACTTCTTTAGATATTTGATTAACTTTTTAAATTGACAACTATTACAAACCAATTATCTAATTGGACTAATTCTTTAGTATATTCAATTTTGCGAGCCCCGAACAATAGAAGATGAATAGGAGTTACCATGGTCATTTGCTTGCAAGATACAGCTTTAGTACGCACCTAAAAAAATGATTGTATTAAAAAAAATATTATTTTATACATATTCTATACTTCTAATAGTATTACATAAATTATTAATATTTAGAATTTTGGGGACTTAAATTGTTAAGTTTAAACCATATTATAATTATTAATTTCAATAACTAAAAAATTCCTAACTACTTATTAGCATTATTTTGTAGAATTGCAATTTATTAGGTCTTAGTGTCATACAATTTTAACAAGTAAGATTAATTTAGACTACAATAAGCTGAATCTTACTTTCTCTGCAAATACAAAGAATGGTGATTGGAAAGAACCGGCCATGTCATTATTACAATTGACAGATGTCTTATGAATAAGGGCAGTCTTCCCTTCTGTTGTGTATACCTAAATATAAACAGAATACATATTAATATATTTAATTAGATGTAATATCAACATTATCAAATGATCATCAATCAGGCCGAAATAGTGAACTCATTGGAATAAAATCAATATTTAGTATTTACCTTGTAGTAATATATTATTTGCAATGTAAATACAATTAAAAATATAAAAATACCATTAAGTTACTGTTTATATTATACTGTTTATTACATTAGAATAAAAATGTGACTATGAAATATGCTTAACATATTTTGTTATTCATTTAAATTCCAATAAAATGTATGACTCAATAAAATTCTAAATAAAACACACCAGTTATGTGAAGTCTTTAAAACCAATCATCAAAGTGAAAAGCTATTGGAAGGATGCATGTGTCAATATGAATAAGAGTCACTAACGGGTGTCTCCCAATATTCAATTACTAGTCCAACAAGCTTTCAAAAAAAATGTGACAAAGTTTTTTTTGATAATTTCCAGTTCCAAAACTGATAATTTGTATTATTTTAATGATTAAATGTTTGTTTATAAATATATAAAACTAAAATGTAACCTTCCGTTTTTCTTTATGATAACACACATTCGGATAAAATCCCATTGTTAAAATGGCAGATACTACATCTAATAATGGTTCATCGCAAATTCCGGTTTTTCCAAAATCAAATGTCTGAATTTGAAAACACATTTCAGGAAATCCAATTTTGATAAATATTTCTTTCAGTTGTTCCTAATAAAAAAATGAATTTTTGATATTATAAATGTACAGTTATTATTTTAAATATTATAAATAACTTTGAATATAAGTATTAAGTAGGTACCATAACATCTGCTGTTGAAGTCAATGAAGGTTGAGACAACATTTTATTTTCACAGTATTCTGTTGGATTAATATTACAATAGGCCAAAGATTGCCATTGATGAAAAGCATTTAGTAGAGCCAAATGATCAGAACAACGGTTACCAGAGAAAGCACGCTGTGCTGGTGTCATTCTATGATCTAAAACATATAAATAAGAAAAAATATTGATTTGAAACAAATGATTTTACATAACTATTATATAAAATGAATTACCGATTATAAATACATCTGTCATGTTTGAACATATAGCAGCTATAATAGCTAAGGCGTCACCTAACATTAAGATATTTCCCAACACCATCATGCGACCAATCTGAGGCTCGATTGGTAATTTTGCTAAAATATGACCAAGTGACGTTAACTCTTCATTTATTCCAAGACAATTCATCTCTTAAATATTTGAACAAAAAAAAATAGTGCATTAATAGAACAATAAAATATTTAGAAAAATGTATGCAGTAAAACGTTTTTTTATTCCATAAGTTTTTAAGTAATTAGAATTTAAAAGATAAAACTAAAAAAAATTCAGTAGAGTTTAAAATTATTTATAGAATTGTTCTTAATAAAATAAGATGTTCACTAAAGAATAAACAAGAGAAAACGTTTAATTATTAATGAGGGTTGTAAGTAGCAATGTTAACCTAATGTAAACTCTAATATTAGTTAATAACCATGTTGATGCTTAAAGAATAAAATAAAAACATGGTGATATTTTAAGTAATTCAAATAAGATATACAAATAAAATCCTGTTCTCCAATATAATTTGTAATGTTTGCAAACCAAATTGAAGAAATACATTATTCAACTCAATGTAGATCTTCATAGTTTATTAGTTAAAAGTATGTGCTAGAAATATAACTAACCAGTAAAACAACATTATTTGTTTAATTGGTTAATATAGTTTACATTTAAGAACCAACAATTTTCTTCTTATTTATTTGAACATCAATAATAATAATTTTCTTCTTATTTATTTGAAGCATTTTACCTTTGAGCACCACTAGGGCTTCAATTACAGCGTCAATAGGTGGAGGTTCAATAGCCTTGCTTAAAAATTGTCCAATATTTCCAAGTCTTAACAATTTAATAGATAAAGCTATTTCATGTAAAGGCGTTCGAAACATTTCTGGTGTTATGTGATCATCCATTTTATCATAACGTGCCTTTAAAATGTTGTATTTAAAATAAAAATCATATAAAGTAATAATAATGAAAAATATCAGAACTTGTATGCTATTAAATGAATAAAATTAAATATGATATTAAAAAATGTTATTATTATATGGCAAAATATAATTTTATTACATCTCAAATTGTATTAAATCATTTTAGTTTATGCTTTGGTTATATTAAATAATTTATTTATTTCAAAAAATTTTTTTTTTTTATATATATTATATATATATAATCTTTGATTACCTTTGTGCATAAGTGAAAACAGAAACCACCTCTAACGCGGCCCGCTCTACCTTTTCTTTGCTGCATGTTTGTTTTAGACGCCCAAACTGTTGCGTAATGAGTCATATTATTATGTGAAGTAAAGAATTTTATCTTTGCTTTGCCATAGTTGATTACAAATACTACATCATTAATAGTTATTGATGTTTCGGCTATATTTGTAGATAAAATCACCTGAAAAATATTTGATTTTTTAAAAAGAATTAGATTATTATAACTAAAATTTCAGAAGTTTCTTTTGAAATTATTCCATTGGTCTAATATAAAACTATATCAGCTGTATATTTTATTTAAACTAACTAGCTAATATAGTTTGTAATGTTGCTAATGACTATATTTAGGGTTACAAAATTTCCCGGTTTAGCAGGGATTTACGGGTTTTGAATATAGCTTCCTGGTGTCCAAATAAAGTTTTGGAACGGCGAATTGTCCCAGAGTTAAACTTCTATAATTTATGTTAACATTTTGTCTTTTACTAAGCATTTCTAGAAGAGAAATAATATTGTTTTGATAAATGATAGAATAATCAAGTTGATTATTTAATTAACTAACATAATCTATTTTTAAATTATTTTACCAGCTTAGTGCCTACAATTATTGATCAATCACAACAAATGTTGACTATCACTTATCATTTATTGTTAAACTGATAATTTTGTTGTATATTCATTCCAATTTGTAACATTGAGTTAAGTTTATTTATTTATTTATAGCTTTAGAACTTAGAAGCATATTGGTATGCCGTAGAGTGCTGACCACAGTGTGTGGTATTCCAGTTATGAAAAAATATTCAAACTGGTGGTTGATACTTGACAGTGGAGGAATGGTAAGATTTTCCCATACAAATTACATAAACAATGTTTAGCCCTTTTAAGTAGATTAAAATTTGACAATTCTAACTATCCTATATAAATAATTAATTATAAAAACATAAAAAAAATTATTAGTTTGCTATATCAATTAGATAACCAATTAACAACATAATTCAAAATTTTAACTAACTAACCTGTAGTCATAATAGCATCTAATATGTATAAAAGTAATTCAAATAATGGATTTTTTTTGCGCTTTTATTAAGATTTTTTAAAGATTGTTTGCTTTATTTTAACTTTGAAGTGTTTTTATTATTTAAATAGAGCTTTAACATCTATATGACAAATTTTATTCATAAATTTCAGTTATAGAACCAGATAACATTTAATTCTTAAATGTATTTTCAGACATTTTAGGAACAATAGGTACTATACTTCATAAAAAAATTAACTTATTATTTTTATCATGATGACAGTTAACTCGTGTCATAAAAACAGTTATAATACAATTAAAATATAAAAATTGTAAACATTCAGTAAAGGTATTGTACAATGTTTATATTTTTACCTTTCGTACTCCAGACGGTACAGGTTCAAAAACTCTACGTTGATCTGCACACGGAAGTTGTGAATGGAGTGGTAGTACACAAAATTTTGAAGATGCTAAAAAATGAAATAGATAAGTTTTCTATATTGAAAGTAAATATAATTTCACAAACCGAAAAATTGTTTCTGAGTTAAATATTTTTTGAGTTCAAAAATTAAATTCCAACCGGGTAAAAATATTAGAACTGCTCCAGGTGTATTCATCTCTACTTCAATGTGCATTAATAATGCCTAAATCAAGAATTATATTTAACTATTATTATAATTGTTATTGTTAGCTTATATTTGAAAAATACTTGCTTCAATAATTTCAAAATCGATATCTTTTTCACTAATCAAGGCTACTTTAGATTTAACTTCAGGAGGATATTCATCAGATACAAGTAAATTACAATTTTCCTCATGATCTGGTGCATCAATGACATATTCTTCATCGGTATCTTTATTCTTACGTTTTTTGATATCTGGAGTTGGCTGATAGTTTAACACTTGAACAATGTCTTCGAGAAAATATTCTGTAAAATTAAATAGATATAAATAATATTTTCAATTGATATCATAAATGAGCAATTTACCTTTCACAGGATAGAATCTCTCTTCTACATTAATGACTGGACAATAATTAAAGTATTTAGAAAACATAGAAGTATTTATGGTGGCCGACATAAAAATAACTCTTAGGTCAGGATAGTGATATATCATATCTTTGAGTACAATCATGAGGAAATCACTATTTACATCTCGTTCATGTATTTCATCAACAATTACATGTGATATACCACGTATACCATTTTCCAATTTACGTAATAATACACCTACGCAATTTTTCTTTTAATTGTGGATCAATACTTTAATATAAAAATAATAAAATTTAACCCTTTGAGGACCAACCTTGGTGTACGTAAATGCAATTCAGGGAGCAGCTTAGGAATGAAAAATTGGAAAAAAAAATTATGAGCAAGACTTATATGTAGGCCTTATTTTAATACGATTGATAAATGAAAATAAATCAATCGATTGAAATTAAAATTCATAGATGGCAGCACATATTTTATATAAGGTGTTTTACAGTAATGAAAATAAGGCTCTAATAGAGCCCTAATGAAACATAAACAAGGAAATTAAAAGGAATTCGAGGGAAAAAAGGTGTGTATATATATAAACGTCCATGCTCTTTGTGACAGTATATTTTAAAAACATATATATATGTCCATGCTCCTCAAAGGGTTGAGAACAAAAAATATTTACCAACTGTACAGAACAAAACTGCCCCAGTAGGTCTCGGAAATATGCTATCAAATCTAACACTATAACCAACACTTAAACCTATATCTTCATTTCTTTCAAAAGCCACTCTATCAGCAATAGAGATGGCTGATATCTTTCTTGGTTGCGTACAAATTATATTGCAGTAAGCCCCTTTGTCATTTTTCAGGTACTCATCAAGTATAAATTGACAGACCTAAATTATCAAATTATGAATAGGTAGGAGTAAAATACATTAAAAAAAAAAAATTTCCAATATAAATCATAACTAACTTGAGTAGTTTTACCACAACCAGTACTACCTTGAATAATAACTATTGAGTTTTTTCTTATTACATCTAAAATATCATTTTTTTTTTTAAATACTGGAAGTTTGCTACGCATTGCAATACTTTCTTTAAAACATTCTGAGGAATTTAATTTCTTAGTATAATCTTTAGATAGTTCTTCACTTAATTCATCTAAAGTAGCCTGTGAATATCAATAAGTATTTTAACAAAGTGGCTAACATATTTCCTAACTAAATACTCGTTTTTATAATATATAATTCTTCATGAATATTATCCATTACTTTTTCCATATTATGGCATTGAGATTTTAAAATAAAAAATATAAAAATATATACAAGGTGATCCCTTTTTTTCATTTAATAATAAATTTATTCAAAATCTTAAGAATAAACTCTAAAAATAAACTCAAAAACTCCTGGACATATTTCAAAAACTCTTTCACCATTAGAATGCTACATTTTCTCTGAGTAACATAGGCTAATTTAAAAGGCTAAATTAGAGGTCTAACCCGGGGAGGTTTTGTAAAATAGTGATTTTGAGATTTACAATGGAAACGTTTGTTTATAAATGGTTGTTATTGGTTTTAATAATTATTAATATTAAAGTGATACACATGTTGGCACAGTGGCACTTCTATATATTTTAGGAAGCTATAGGTATCTGCGCGGCTCATCACTCATACTAATAAATCAGTGTGATACTTAGATATTAGTTATAGTAGAATTTAGACTTGAATAATCACAATTTTTGAAAGAGTTGACATTTCTTACAGGCAACCAAGTACCAGATCAGTTATATTATAATAAATTAGAAGAAATGGCATATAAATATTGTATAAATAAATTTATTAAAAATACAAATCTTTTTCATGGACGTCAGGCTGGATAGCTAGTTAAATATAAAGCTAATAAATATTTTCAAAATCTTGAATTTTTGGTAATACTTAAAGAGTATCTTGTCGCGAAACAAAATTCTGTTTTTAAATGAGAAACGCCTTTTTTTACTATACTATTTATTTAGTAAATAATTTTTTGGAAATGTTGATGTACCTAATTGAAAAATCAAATGAGCAGCTTTTCTATTAAAATGTTTAAAGTAATTCATAGGTATTAAACAAATTGATGCAGGTGTACCACAAGGTTGTAAAATATCAAAAAAACTTTTCAAATTATGCATACCCGACTTCCCCACAACAACGAACACAGAGTGTCATATATTCTAGTAGGTACTGATAAAATAGAAAAGGTAACCGAAAACATACAAACTCATCTCAACAGAATTCAAAAATGAGCACAAAGTTGGGAAACTGTCATTAACCCATCGAAAAGCTCAGTAGTTCTTTTCAATCTACAGACCCAAAAAATTTAAATTTAAAAATTACTCTAAATTCAATAGACAAAATATAACTTGGTTTCATAATATTAAATATCTTGGAGTGATATTAGATAAAAAGCTTACCTAGAATCCTCACATATTTTCTAAATTACAGTAAGGATACCAAAGTTTAAAAACTATACCCACAAATTAATCGTCAAGCTTCACTGAACTGGAAGTGCTCACTAATGTTATATAAACAAATAAATTCCCCTAATTCTATATGCCGCCTTGGGCTGGGATCAATGTACTACAACTCACATAAACAAAGCTCAAGTCCTACAATCCAAAGTCCTTCATGTAATCTCAAATGACCCAATTTTTTTTTTCGAAACGATGCACTTCATTCAGAGTTCAAATTACAAACTAATAAAAACTGCATCAAGAACCTATCAGTAAGCTACTTTAGACAATTACAAACAACAAGTGGTCCACAGCATTTTAGTCTGAATGCCCGCCCAAACAGTCGCAGGCTCCAATATGGTCGTCCCCATAACGCCATATATTACTAATTGACTTACTTACTATTATTGTAAATATTGTATTAATTTTATATAATTGTTAAATTGTTTTGTAATATAAAAATTGTTATTCTAATGTTCATTTAAAATCCAAAGTTCTTACTTAATTACCATATTGTGATCTGATACACAAAAATTTCAAAAATTTCAATTCTATATATCTAACCTAAGTTTAGGTTATAAATGTCAGGAAAACTTTAAAAATAAAAAAAAACCAAAAAACTATGGAACAGGGATAAAAGTCCTTAAAAATGGTTTTTTCAAAAATATAAAATAGATGTAATATTGGACCTAGTGTTTATTATACTTGGACCATTTTTATATAATTAAAATGTTGATAGATTAATATTAATTACTACAACTTTCAAACCACTATAGTACCCATATTCTCTTCCAAACCTATTTTCGTGGAACAATTATCCTTGGGGAGCAAGTTGTATAACTTAAAACTACTAGTTCAAATTTAAACATTGATAAGCCAAACATTTTCAAAACAATTATCAGCTTAATAGTATATAGAAGAAAAAGGAAATTCTCAATTGAAAAACAGAAGTTTGTATCTCCACAGGATACTTCTTAAATAGAACAAAAAACCTCGAGAATTTGAAAATATGATCATTAAGTATATTTAAAAATTCAAAAAAATCAGATTTTGTATACCTACATAATTGAAGAAAAAAGAGTGTGAGCATGGTTGGTGAATCACTCTGTATACTAAAAATTAATGAAATTATACATGAATATTTTGACCATTTTTAAAACTAAATGTATCAAAAAACAGTCTTAATTTTTTACTTCAAACTTACAATAGCTAAAGGACCTTTATCAATATTTACGGCCAACCAAGGATTCCAATTTGGTTGAGGTGGTGACCATGGAATAACTCTTTGTCCAATTAGTTTTGGCTCTTTAAATTCCGCAAGTATTTGATTAGAAACTAATGAAATCGTGGTTCCGGGTTCAATAATAGTATCATTCTTCGAACAATAAAAATACACATATAATAAATATTTATTGTCTTAACTATGTAATTTACCTTAATCACAGGTTCAATATTATACTCTTGCAGTATATTATATACTTTGTTTAATATTAAAGGACTGACATTAACTTCATATGGTTTTACTGTGTTTAAAATAGGTTTTTTCAAAGATCCTGAAAATGGTTCAATAACACCTAAAAGGCATAGTTGACGAATCAAAGAAAGTGCACAACTTTTGGATGCTGATTGTTTGTTTGAACCACTTTCACGAGCAATTACATCTAAATCAAATAATTATAATTGTGTAATGAGCTATTTAAAAAATGCTTATCATATTTTTATGTAATGATTTACTTCTTCCAAGTTCAGCTATGTATATTGACATTTCAGCAACAAAACTCCTAAAAAATACATAAACTATATTAGTTTGATTACTGAAAACTTAATGATTAAAAAATGGGTGTCGCTCTGCTGTACAGTAGGTAAACCGTACATACTATATTCTAACCAAAATCTTTTACGTGGACGTTATAGTACCATTTGTTGTCTTCGTCTCACAAGTGCGTAACATAGCAACTTTTACGCTCAGCAGAACACATTTATCTCCGTTAGCTTAAAAATTAGAACGAATTGACCTCTTATAAAATTTAAGCACAAAACTATTATCTATACAATGGCATAGGCTTTTTATTATATTTTATAATTGTAAACTGTCTGTACATCTTAAAACACTCACCACTCGCTTTAAAATTAAAATATAATAAAAAGCCTAGGTCATTGTCTAGATAATAATTGTACCTTTAAATTTTATAAGAGGTCAATTTGCAGTAATTTTTAAACTAATGGAGATAAACATGTTCTGCTGAGCGTAAAAGTTGCTGTGTCACGTACTTGTAAGACAGAGACAACAATTGTCACTGTTACTAGTTACCAGTGGTCGGGAGTAGCGCGCTAATTGTAGCGACGCAACAGTAGCACGCTACTTTAGCTGTAGAGATTAACATAGCGTCGCTACAGTATATACAGTAGAAAAATACTATAGCGCGCTAGAAATTTACGGTTAGCGTAGTGAAAATGTTCATTATTTTATCGCTACTCCTAACCTATTTCATGATAATTAAAATATTATAATGTATTTATTTATTTATTTAATTAAGATGACAAGATGAGTGTATTTTTGATTTTTTCGGGTTTAGCCCGGACCAGACTAAGATAAGACTGGATAGATAAAACTATAATCATAAGTGCATTATTACAATGTAATATTTTATATTATTGAAAACAGAACCATAAATAATAATTAATATATTAGTATTTAATTATCACTATTTTTGTTTTCGGCATTCAGCGTTTTCTACTTTTCTGTGTTTCTTTTAAGTTTTAAATATTTTGAATAGTTGAATTAAAAATGACAGAACCTGAAGCCACCACGTCATATTCAACTAGTTAGCAATTTTCAATAAAACATTTATTTGTTTTGATTTTTGTTACAAAAATACATGAGTAAAATAAATAATTTAATAATTAATAAATTAAATAAATTAATATTATTATTATTATTATTATTATTAATTAATTATTAAATTAATTAATTTAATAATTTATTACACTTAATAAACCTGCCTTCCGAAATTACAAGAAAATAGTGGTAGGCATTAACAAATAATGACCAAGTACTCAAGTGAATATCTAAATAAACAAAAAAAATTTTAAAAAAAATGTAGCGAAAAAGTAGCACGCTACATTTAAACAATATCGTTAGAAATACATTTTAAAAAAAGTAGCTTTAGCGATAGCGAGCTACTTTTTTCGGGGAGTAGCAGTAGCGTTAGCGTGCTACAAAAAAACAGTAGCGTCCCGACCACTGCTAGTTACCTCTTAACTAGTTTAAAGAGTGGGTATATATTTTTATTTGTATAAACAATATTAATTCAACTGCACAGATTATAGGAGATATAATAATAGAATGTTACTTACTTTCCCATGAAACTATATTTGTAATCAACGTTTTTTAACTTATTAGATTGAATAAATTGATTTAAACGTGATTTGGCATTATCAATTGTCCAATTACCATGCACAGCAGCATTCACATCCAAACTTTCTGCCTATTAATACAATTATTTAAAAAATAAAAATATATTAACAAATAGTTATAACTAAAAGTAAAAACGATTTTACCTCTTCAACTTTATTTTGGTCATTCAAAAAATCTTTAAACTGAAAATTTGCTTTCCCAATTGGTCGATAAGCTTCACCGAGCATATTTGGAGTTTGGCCTTGTTGATACACAGATTTGGGTGGTACATTATTCATTAATCTTTGGGATGCATTAACCATGGAATCATTTGAAGCAGGACCAGAAATAAAATTCTAATAAAACCCATACTTCAGTATAATAACAATAACTTTAACATATTAGATTAATGAACTTACAGGTGGTAACGAATCAGTAGATACCAATCCCTGCCTTATCAAGTATAAGATGTAGTCTTTTGATGCATTTCCTTGAGCATCTTTTTTATTAGTTGAATTTCCTACACCTACATAGTTATGTCCACCAACAGTAACTTCACATATAAACCGTATATTCTTTGAACCTAGAATAAAATATTTAAAGTTTCTATAATTTGTTATATTGTATAAACATTATATGAGAATGACTGTGTTTGCGAGGAGGGTGCTAAGGATCGTAGTAAGTGGAAATTGAAGACCAGGGTGGCCTACCCCAAATAATTGGGAGAGAAGGCGAAGGAAAAGAAGAAGAAGTATAAACATTATGTGATAATTGTTAATTTATTTTCTGGTTATCATACTCTTGTAAAATCCCAAAAGGGGATGTTATAAAAATCATCGCACCCATCTATAACAATGTTTGCAAGATTTATTGTGTTTATATTCTATACTCAACAGCAAACAGAAAACATAAATATCACAAAATAAGATTAAACATTGCTAATTTTTTACGAATAAAAAGTTCATCAATTTTACCGGCTTGCTTGGTTTCAAACTGTGGATCCAAATTATTTTTTGCACACCATTCATGTAGAAAAGATTTTGGGTTAGCCATTCTGAGGCGTATTTCTTAGGTAATTGTGCCTTATAATACGGTATAATAAGTAACAACTAATACTTTACAAATAACAAATTAACGTTGATAGTTGATGTTGTTATGAATATAGGTATCAGTTACGTTATTAGATAATAAATAACTTTTTTAAATTTTGTTTAAGTTGTTATTATATTTTGTTTTGCATCGTAGTATGATAGCACAATCACTTAATCTGTGGTACAATCATACACTCTATGGGTATAATTAATTAATGTACAATCTTAGATCATGTTATTCTTTTCTTTGTAGAGTTTAAACACAGTATACACGAATTCGGAATTATAATTCATTTTAGTTAAAATCACGGAGTTAAAATGTAACTAAAAAGCAAAAACTTTAATAGGTTCGTGTTAAAAAGAATACTAATTTGAATAATAATTAATATTATAATCATGAAGAGTATCTAATAGAATAAAGCGACAACACTCCGACACTCACACGCGGTCGCTGTACGGCTCGATAAAAAAACGACTGATTTCCGAACACCGAACATGACGATGAAACTTCGTCAGACGGCATGGTCCAGAAATGAGTAGTACAATTAAACGGCCACAGGCTGAGCTGCGATCGCTATGGTTGCTATTGTAACCCCCGTAGTATAGGGATTATTAATGTTTTTTACGTTTTTGGGAAAATATAATATGCAATTTTTAAAACCACGACCCTTTTAAAATTGTATAGCTTGCTGGATTATGCATTTATACATGTGTATATGTGTATATTTCATAAATATTAATTATAGTATTGTGTGAAAAATTGTAAATTATAAAATTCATTAACACTTATATCTAGTAATATTTTATACCTATTCATCTGTGTAATGTGTTCTCAGGAAGTCTGAACTCTGAGCCAAATACTATATTCGATACGTTCCGACAATTTTTTTTAATATGGGTACTATACAAATAGAAATATCAAATAAATTGTATAATATATCTATTTAATTAGGGATGCCAGATTTCAAAATAAAAAATACGGGACGAAACTATAAACAATTAAATTATGGTTGGGGGGGATTGAAACGTTGGCCATTGGGTACCTACCATCCCAGTATGTTATAGCCTGATAAGTTTTATAAAATTTATTTTGTTTAAAAATGCTTTAAGGGGCCTTCTCGTGTGTCTTTAATAAGAGGCAATATTTGGGAAACGTGCAGTTTCGTTGCCACCGCCCATTGCATTTGGGTTAGTCGTCAATGATGATTAATGTGAGTGGGATTGTATGCGGGTACCGTGCCGTCTACGCACGCACTGCGCGTGACATTGCACTGCGCGTGGCACTGCACATTTCAACGGCACCGCCGCGCCGAGGCGCGGACCAAAAATAAAATGCTTGATCTTTTGCTCAAAACACGCTTTACAGAAAAAACTCTCACACATGGTAGATTGGTCTGATTTGATTAATTTTTTTTTCGTTAGAAAGAGAAGAATTTTCTACAGGGCGCATTGAACTTCGATTTTTAATTTCGTTGCTTAAATAAACATAATAAAAATAATAAAATCTTGTGAAAATTGGTCATATTCAAAGTCGTATTATATGGTTTAGAAATAGAATCTTGAAAATCCAGGTTCAGTGAGCCCTGTAAGAAGCGTTTCTTTTTCAAAAAAAAAAAAATCGAAATCAGATCACTCTAGGTACGAGGCATGAGAGTTTTTCCTGTAAGGCATGTTTTTGAGCAAAATAACAGCTGGTAACTTGCAGCCTGCAGGCCCTTTAATAATTATGTTATCAGTCAATCAGTGGTTAAAAATATTTTTGTCTTGACATTTGAAAACACATTTTGAACATTATATATACAAATATTAAACGATCAAGTACCTATTCTAGTTTTACGGGACATACAGGACGAGAATTTCATAATACGGGACATTTTTACGATATTGGATCTGTTATGAGGGGTAGTTGGAAAAAAATCCCCGGGAAAAAAAATCCCCGCACTAGGAAAAAAAATCACCAGTAGCATTATACCGGTAGTATTAAATTATTTTATAAATTTTATTATATGAAAAATAAAATAAATATTGTATATTATGTTAAAAATTGTTATTTTATAATAAATTAAATATTACTAAATATATAAATGTATTATATTATACGCATATAAAATGTATGCCATGATGGATAAACTTTCGGCGTTTTGAACAGTATACTCGAAATCGCGATCAAGATGTAATTCAAATTTCCAACTGACCAATTAGTTGTTATTTGTTTCAGTTCCGGTTTAAGATTAGATAGTAGACAACACGCATCCTATAATCGTCGTTAAGAGTGTTTTTCCAATGTAGGTACTCGTACTTTATAGGTATTCAGGTAGGTACACAATTAGAGATAATGAACTTTTTTCGATTGCAATAAATTGATGTTATAGCGATCATATTATATGGTATAGGTATAGGTACTAAGGTACCTATACGGGCTATATGGCTATACTGCAAAGAAACTGCGCTCAGTCATTTGTTGGCACTGAATTAGTTTACTACATAGTGTATCCTTAAAAATGGAATTGCTAAAAACACAACGAGGGTATAAAATTGCATATAAAGGCCATATGTATACATTACAAAAAATATGTTTGAATTTTATTCGTTGGAGTTGTTCAAAATTTAGTTCGCTTAAGTGTCCGTGTATTTTAAAAACGTGCTTAAATATAGATAAACCAACGTTTTTAACTTTAAATAATGACCACGTGCATGAGGGAAATGACAATTTAATTGGTGCAGCTAAAGTGAAACGATTAATGATCGAAAAGGCGAAATCATCACATGCAACACCTAGTCAAATATATTCGGAAATAGTTGCCAATTGTACTACCAATGTACTCGCAGAATTACCTCGGGAGGACTATTTAAAACGGTCGATTCGAGGACTAGTTTTCGAAGACTACAACCTATGTTTCCACCTAATACTTGGAATGTTCATGATACAACCCTTCATGGTAGCCAAACAATCCTACTGAAGGATGGAACAATCGCTTATTCGCTTTGCACATTTAGTCGGTCAAAAACATCCAACAATATGGAAGTTAATTAGAAAAATTAAAAATGAAGTAGCTGCAGATCTAGCAAAGTTGGCTTTAAATGATGTAGGTGAGCCATTCAATAAAAGAAAAAAATTAGGGTTGACCCAAACTACCGAAAAAAGATTGAAAGAACTATGTACACGAATCCAAAATGATGAAATAAATGTTGAAGACTTCCTAAAAAAAAATATATTAAATATAAAAATTATATTATATTAGCATATTATGACATATTTATAAAATAATTCCTATAAACTATTTATATTTAATTATTGTTCATATTTTTGTATACATTTTTTATTGTATTTTTAAGGTATAAGACAGTTTTTATAAAATAACAATTTTTAACATACCTAATAGTACGGTACCTAATATACAATATTTATTTTATTTTTAATATATAATTTATTATATATTAAATTATCTATATTATCCCCTGTATAATGCTACTGGGGATTTTTTTTCCCGGGGATTTTTTTTCCGCAATTCGTTATGAGGACACCGGGACACTGTCATGAATTACGGGACGTTCCCGTATAATACGGGACGTATGGAATCCCTATCTATTTTAGAGATTACTATAGATTAGAATATTTGAGGTGGCATCCTAGTTGAAGGCTTGAAAGTGTAAAACCAAAAACCAGTCTTGTTAAGTTTTCGAATATTTGTATTTAAATACTTTTTGACCCATGTATTTTAAATAGGTACTTAAAAAATACTTTTTATTTGTATTTTTGTTCTAGAATACTAAATACTTTTTTTAATTCTCGTGGTCTACTCCAAATTGTAATTACTAATATTTCGGAATGTACTATTGTTAATATTGTTTCTAAAATATTATTTTAAAATGTTTCTAACTTCTGATAATTTATAAATAAGATTTTGTCAAAGTACAAGCAGATAACAGAATGACTAAACACTGAAACCCCCGTCGGCTCCTCACTCCCATATTAGTATATTACAGTGACATACAAGACACTGACCACCACTGGTTGGATTGGCATAGTTATCACTTATCTTGAATCTTTAAATAGGATTTCTTCTTATTTATTGGGTGGTACTGACGTACTGTGGTAGTATAGCTTATAATTTTAATAGAAGATATAGGTATTAATCTTATTGAACTTTTTTTTTTGTCATATTAATTTTAAATGGTGCAATCTGTATAAAATATTTTTACAATAAGCACAATAGATGGAGGGATACATAAGAGGGCTTGGTTGGCTTGATTAAAGAAACTATTCAATAATAGTACTTCATGGTGTATTGGTGTGGGTGTATAGTGTTTAGTCGACTTGTTATTGAATTGATTGAATTATTGATCATTAATTTACTATTATTATTATTATTATTATTATTATTATTAATTAATCATTGATTAAACTTAAAAAAAAGTATTTGTGTAAGTATTTTGAATACTTTTAAAAGAAAGTATTTTAAATACATATTACACCAAGTATTTAAATACGTATTCTGAATACATTTGAAAAGTATTCTTAACAAGACTGCCAAAAATATATCTCAGCTAAATGGCCATTTAAAAAAAAAAAAAATAATACTGTACCTATTCCTTTTAATCCCGAACTAAGATATTATTATATAAGATTATTAGTCCGTATTCTGTGCTTTTAGTATTATTAGCAATACGAGGCTGCTATCTAGTAGTGCGTATTGTTATGTAAGATTCCTTCAAAGGGAAAACGCTCGACATCACAGCTGAAATCATGGACATTCACTATCGTTTATAATCTGAGAGTCTAAGACCTGTGGCTGTGATAGTAAGGCGTTTACTGACTGCGTGTTTATGTCTCACTCATAAGTCATAGATCTATTGATCTATGATCTTACTTTATGACACGATATCTTTAATCGTGCTTTATGATGTAGATCGTAGATGGCCAAAGATGATAAATAGAAAAATCAATAAATAGCGCTTCCA